TCTTGGACTGGTGGACCAACTGGAACAACTTTCCAATTGCTCAATTCAAGGCAATAATCAATATATTTGGCTTCTATAGTTGTAGAAGTACTCATCAACATGATTTGCATATTCCCATCCACTAAACGATCCTCGAAATCTTTAGCATACATTTTTTCTTGTTCAATTTTGCTGAGATTAATCGCGGGGAATGGGAATACAGCCTCTGGTTTCTTTACTAAGTAAAAAAGATACGAAAACACAGCTGCACCAAAAGTTATGAGCTTGACAGCTGGAATGTTCTGTTCATTCGCGACGTGTTCAGCCCATTGCTGCAACATGTCATAAATCACCAAATCAGGTTTCAGATTTTGCAAGATTTTCGAGAAGTTTGGTTTGGACATTTCCAGGGCCTTATGAAGGGTGTTATTGAGATGGGGCGGGAGACCATTGGTAGTATGGTATTGAGGAGGAAGTTCGGGTAATTCTGGTAAGTGAAGTTCGATAAGGTGAATCGAATCAGCATACTTTTCAGGGATTTTCTTGATGGTGGATTTGAGATTTATCGGTGTAGAACAGAGGTAAATCAAGAATCCCCTGTCCGCGAGTTTCTTGGCTACGTTTAGAAATGGAGAAATGTGTCCATAAGCTAACCATGGAAACATGAGTACCTTCAAAGTAGCCATGATCAAAGTATTGAAAAGACACTAAATTTGTGATTCTAAATGAGAGATGGGCCCTTTGGTGGCATTGGATGCCTTATTTATAAGAGATAGAATTGACATAATTAGATTGAAAATTAATATGTTTTTGCCAAATAATTATTTGGCAAATGAAAGTCAAAAGAATTGACATTTAAGAGTCAAAGTGTGGAAATTCTTATTACTCACATAATAAAGAATTATCTCTCTCCTTAAAAGTAGCAAAAGATATTTAATTAAGACTATTTTGACACTATATACAGATTATTTTCCCCATCTATTTGGCATTTGCTAGAAGCTATGATGAAAAACTCAATAAATATCCACGTAACAAATTTGTATACATCTGTTTGTATTAGTATTCAAATACTAATTTGTATTTGTCAAATAGATTTGTATTGGACACATTCACTGGTATTCATTGGCCAATATTCATCTAATAAATTTGTATGGCTTTCTTTAGGTCAAAATTGATATCCATTAGTTCGTATTCACCTAACAAATATGTATACATTTTTATAAATTGAGGTTCATATTCATTGGTATGTATTCATCTAATAGATATACATTTGCTTGCACTACCAATTTTATAATCTCACATTGTTATCTATCGGTCCGTATTCATTAATAAATTTGTATACATTTGATTGAGACAAAATTAATATTCATTATCAAATCTAATCAACGAAATTTAATATTTTACCAAAATGTCATTAATAAATAAATCATATAAGTACCAAAATGAATTCTGTAAAAGCAAATTAGTGTATTCTATAACTTTGGTATTAGAGGGGAAGAAAAGGTCAGACTCTATGAAATTGACTAAAATAAATATGAAAGAAAAAGGCAATGATGCAACAAAAAAATAAAGCAAAACCTATGGAAGTAGAAAATAATTATCATCCATATTTTCTTTTCTAATTTTAAGGAGAAACTTTAGTTGGTAGTAAGAGGAGAGAAAATACTACTCTCCTTGTTCCAACTTTATATGACTTACTTTCTTTTTAATCAGTCCCAAAAAGAATGACACATTTTCATATTAAATAACAATTGAACTTTAAAATAGACATTTTACCCTTAATGAATGATTCACTGTCACACAAATATCTATTACTCATTTTAGACCATAAATTTAAAAAAATCTTCCTTTCTTTCTTCAACTTTGAGTCAAATCAATCTAACTCATATAAAATGAGACACAGGAGTTACATTTTATTCGCTACAAGAGAAAAATGATATGGACTTGAGAATTTATATCGAAAGCTAAAGAAATAATGGTCAAACATATATCTGAACTTCGCAGTTTCACATTCTAACTATTACATGTTCTCTTATCCTATCTGAACTATTGTCGACTGTTCTATTTTTCTATCTGAATTATCACCATATATATGTTAAAACACATCTAGTTGAGTAGATGATTATGAACAACTGAGAGTTGACTTAATCAACTTGAAATGCGTTTTAATACATAGATACTGATAATTCGAATTATTTGAGAATCTTATTATTTTTCTCAATATATTTTGAAGACAAACAAAAGCACCTCACATACAATATTATTTTGTTAATTGAATTACAACAAACCACATTATTTGCACTTATTACTATTCCTACAAAGTTGAATTAGCTCCTGAACAGCAGCATCCATCTCTTCACCTCTTACAGATTTCAAATTCTTGCTGATATCTCTCACTTTAGCCCTCAAATTTTCCCTTGTTTCCCCTGATATGACACCTTTAAGAATTTCCGCGATTTCTCCTCTGTGAATTTTGCCATCATCATCTCTTACAATCTCCACTGCGACTCCTAATTCTACAATCAACCTCGCATTCATTGGTTGTTCAAGATGCATAGGCATGGCAATTATAGGAACCCCAAAATCTATACTTTCCATTACTGAATTCCAACCACAATGACTTATAAATCCTCCAGTACTCGGATGATTTAGAATTCTTGGTTGTGGTGCAAATTTGTCCAAAACTCTTCCTCTTTCTCCAATTCTTTCAAGAAAACCTTTTGGCAATGCATCGTCAAGATTTCGCTCTTCCCCTTTCGAAAATCTTACAACCCATATAAAATTAACATTACTTAACTCCAACCCGAAAGCTACTTCTTCCATATCTTCTTTTGACAAGAAATACTCACTCCCAAAGGAGACAAAAACAGTTGAATTCTCATCTTTTGTTCCTAGCCATTCCATGAGCTCCTTGTCGTCCGCGTTGTTAGTGATTGGATCTTGGACTGGTGGACCAACAGGAACAACCTTCCAATTGATCAATTCAGTGCAATGATCTATGTATTTTGCCTCTATAGTTCTAGAGGTACTTATCAGCATGATTTGAATATTTCTAAGAAATGATCATTATCAACAAATTAGAGATATTATCAAAGAAAACAAAGTCATAAAGCTTCGACATTCATGATCATTTTGAAATATGTACATAGTGATATCTGCAAGATTCCTATACAGCTGTACTTTAAAATGTAACGATGAGTAGAAAAAAATCAAGAGAAGTTATATATAACACAAATACAATTTAAGAAATTAATTGAACCAAATTTTCTATGCTTACCTCCTAGAGATAGCTAAATAAGAAGACGATAAATATTGCTACACTATTGAGTACTACTGAGATACCAAAATCTTGAGAAACTATATATGACAACAATATTTGTAGCATTCCAAACAATATTATCTTATTCTTTCATTCATGTGAAAAGCACAATAATTTATTTTAGAAATAATAACTAAATGACTCATATTAAACATGACAGGCTGAATTTTTGTTACATACCAGGTAAGTTTATACCTACGATATATTATATTGTTTCATCCAAATAATGAGAATTAGTTATATGCTACATGTCCATTTATATAAGATAAATTTAATTTATCAAGTAGAAAATTCAGCATTAATTTATGTTAATTATGATGTAAGGAAATCAAAAATTTTGCAACAATGTTTATTGTTGCTATTACTTGGCATTTAAGATAATTTATGAATATAATTCATTGAACTTTTTTTATAGTTTTGCGCGTTAGGAGTACCTGAAGAGATTGATTTAAATATTGAGAAACTTTTGATTTTCTTCTATCATTTAATAATACAAATATTCATTGTATTTATATTAATTCATGTCACAAGTTGTGTTTTAACTTCCGAAAACTTAAAGTAATATTACGGAGTTTTCCATTTTAGAATATTATTATTATTATTATTATTATTATTATTATTATGTATTTATATTTTTGTCCATAAATATGTATTAGAATAGTGTTTAATAGAATATGATAATATTTACTAATAATTAATGTGTATTTACATTTTTTTTCATCAATATTATGATATTATAAGGACATTTCATATTTATTCCATACATTGATCTCTGTGGACACAGATTAACATTCCATGCATTGATCTCTGTGGTTCGTTATGACTTCTAAAACGTGCAGGGTATTTGCAAGCAAAATTTGTGATCGGCCTTCCATTAGTAATTGCATTTCTGGTGTACAAATTCAAAAGGAGGCATTTGTCAATGTACGATACGATTGAAGGCTTTTTGCAAACACAAAACAATTTCATGTCTATAAGATATAATTACTCCAACATAAAGAGAATGACAAGAGGATTCAAAGAGAAATTAGGCGAGGGAGGTTACGGAACTGTGTACAAAGGAAAGCTTCAAAGTGGAAGAGATGCAGCAATGAAGATGTTGCACAAACTTAAATATTTGGCTGTAAATAGTTGTTTACATAATCATTGCTGCCTGTAGACACCACAAAAATTGACCGAGACAAATAACTCGAAAATTCCTCAGGATCATCAAATTTTCTGGGCAATTCTCGCTCTACCGTTCTCTCGAATAAATCAACTTGCTCTGAAAAATGCAGGCACTTCCCCTACCAAAAAAAAACACAAGAAATTTTTGTTTGGAGAATTTCGTGCATCCATCAGATCATGGGAAGTTCTACGACATTTTCATCTGATTCAATAGCTTTGTTAGATAATCCCGTTGAGGCAGACATTTATGCTAATTGATTATAGTTAATGTAATGATTATGTGAAATAAACATAGCCAACCCAACAATGTTTGGGACAAAGAATCGCGTTGTTATTGTTGTACTAGTTATATATTATAGACATAATACAAAAAAATGCCCTTTAATTTGCCCTCAACTTACATTTATGCGTAGAAACTTAAACATGTATAAAGTTGAACAAATAGCCACACACATCCTACTTGGCATCCTACATGGTATTCTATGTTTTTCTCATTATTTCAACCTCAATATATTTTGAAGACAAACAAAAACACCTTACATACAATATTATGTTGTTAATTGAATCATAAGATTCACTTATTACTATTCCTACAAAGTTGAATTAGCTCTTGAGCAGCAGCATCCATCTCTTCATCTCTTATAGATTTTAAATTCTTGCTTATATCTCTCACTTTAGCCCTCAAATTTTCCCCTGTTTTCCCTGTTATGACACCTTTAAGAGTTTCCGCGATTTCTCCTCTGTGAATTTTCCCATCATCATCTCTAACAATCTCCACCGCAACTCCCAATTCTACGATCAACCTAGCAACCATTGGTTGATCAAGATGCATAGGCATGGCGATTATAGGAACCCCAAAATCTATACTTTCCATTGCTGAATTCCAACCACAATGACTTATAAATCCTCCCGTACTCGGATGATTTAGAATTCTTGGTTGTGGTGCAAATTTGTCCAAAACTCTTCCCCTTTCTCCAATTCTTTCAAGAAAACCTTTTGGTAATGCATCTTCAAGAATTTGCTCTTCCCCTTTCGGAAATCTTGCAACCCATATGAAATTAACATTACTTAACTCCAACCCGAAAGCTACTTCTTCCATATCTTCTTTTGACAAGAAATACTCACTCCCAAAGGAGACAAAAACAGTTGAATTCTCATCTTTTGTTCCTAGCCAATCGATGAGCTCCATATCATCCGCGTCATTAGTGATTGGATCTTGGACTGGTGGACCAACTGGAACAACTTTCCAATTGCTCAATTCAAGGCAATAATCAATATATTTGGCTTCTATAGTTGTAGAAGTACTCATCAACATGATTTGCATATTTCCATCAACTAGAAGATCCCCATCATCAGGTTCTTTCGATTTATTAGATTTCGCTACCATTTCACTCAATCTTACTTGCTCAATTTTCCTGAGATAAATAGCAGGGAAAGGGAATTCAACCTCTGGTTTCCTCAGTATGTTGAAAAAATACGAAAACACAGATGCACCCGAAGTTATAAGCTTAACTGCTGGAATGTTCTGTTCATTCGCGACACGTTCAGCCCATTGCTGCAATACGTCATAAATCACCAAATCAGGTTTCAGATTTTCCAAGATTTTTGAAAAGTTTGGTTTGGACATTTTCAGGGCTTTTTGAAGGATGTGATTGAGATTGGGTGGGAGACCATTGGTAGTATGGTAATGAGGAGGAAGGTCAGGTAATTCTGGTAAGTGAAGTTCGATAAGCTGAATCGAATCAGCATACTTTTCAGGGATTTTCTTGATGGTGGATTTGAGATTTATCGGAGTTGAAATGAAGTAAATCAAGAATCCTCTGTCCGCGAGTTTCCTAGCTACGTTTAGAAATGGAGATATGTGTCCATAAGCCAAAAATGGGAACATCAATACCTTTAAAGTAGCCATTGTATTCTTAATTCTTGTTTTTCTATAGAGGGAAAGAAGGATGAAAGAGAAGCTCTTTGTGGAGTTGATGACATTGGCTACCTTTATTTATTAAACGAAAATGTGATAAAGAGTTGACTATATGTACCAATAAAGTTTAAATCTAAGATATGACGAAAGAATAGTTACCAGAAGTAATTGGTAGCCATCTTTTATTTATAGAATAATTGGATGTAGACTTCTGGCCAAATTTAATGCAAAGTGATGACTTGTGTGATTGTTTGTTTTAAATATTAAAGTAGAAAATTTAGGCACATTTAAAGAAGGTGACTTTATAGGTAATATAAAAACTTTTACTAGTGCGTAGAGAGATTATCTATAAGACTATAATTAAGTAGATTAAAAGAATAGTTAATGATCGAAAAATATTTGAATTAGAGGTTTTTTAAGTCAATATCATACCTTAGTTATCAAATGTTTCATTTATTTTTTGCATCTTAACTATCATCATCAATGTATTAAAACACATCTTAAGTACTATTAGTTATTCATTTTTACTATTTGGATTAATCACTATCTTTTGAATAGCAAAAGGGAACAATGGATAGTTGATGTGTATCTTTTTAGTACATGAATAATGATAGTTTATATTTAGAAAAAAGAAAATAGCTGATATTAAGAATGTAAAATGTGCGAAAAAAAGTGATAGTTCAAGTGTGTTTTTTATCATTATCTCTAAAAAGAACTATTTTTAGGTAAATTTGTAAAAAAAAATCTAGTATGTATATTTTTAGTTTTTTAAAAAAAAAAAATTGTGTCAATACAAATTATATCACATGATACGAATAAAGTACGTAAAGAGTACATTGTAAATAGAATTATTGGGTGCTCAACTTGGTTGTGATACGAATAAAGTACGTAAAGAGTACATTGTAAATAGAATTATTGGGTGCTCAACTTGGTTGTGAGCTAGTTGAGTACATATTGTATATTATTTCATGGCTTTATTTATAGGAAAAATTGTGCATTATAGCAAATTATTAATTCAAAATAAATGATATAGCTACAGTTTTATTTAATTCTAATTTGTAGTAAACACTTTGTCATTCTCACCTCTCTTCCCTGAATCTCGCTCGCCACTCTCAATTTTCTCCCTTGCCTCTCTCATTTTTATACAAACACAATTGTATAAAGCAAGAGAGACCGTATATACAAATACAAATCTCTCCTTCCTATACACTTATAATTATACTATAATACAAATCTTCCTCTGCTCAGTTCTCTTTTGTCTTTCTCTCTCTCTCGCTTTATACAAACATAAATTATACAAATACAATGTACAATTTGTGTTAAATAAAGCGAGATAGAGAGAGATTTGATATACAAATATAAATGTTTTAACTCGATTCAATTGTATATTAACTCGATTTTATTTTATACAAATTCAAATTTTATGCAGATATACAAATACAATCATTGATACATATACATAGTAGTTACATATATATAATTATCTAACCGATATACATATACAATTCATCTCTCTCGCTTGCATCTCTCCTAATCTAGCTCTCCACTCTAACCTAACACACAGAGCATATTCATATAAAAACAAAATTTTCTTAGACATAGACATCCGATTTATACAAATTGCCACGATTTTATACAAATCAGATATCTGTGATCTATACAAATCAGATGCTCCATAGCAAATATAAGCACAAATATCAAAACTGTAGCTATAAAGCACTAATATGATTTTTATGTTTATTATTCCTAAAATTTACTCATATATATAACGAATTTATTTAGTATTAACGTGTCGTCATTGATTACGCACACATATTAAATTAGTCATAAAATACTTTATTATTAAGAAAAAGACAAAAAGGTTGTGTCAACCTTATCTCTGGGGAATGACTTTTATTTTCAGAAGATTAAAAAATGGGTTGCGTGATCAATGAGATCATTTGGCGAGGTGCACTCCTTAGCATGGGGATTAGGGATCTTTCTAGAAATAAAAACTTCGAGTATGTAAATTATTTTTTTTGGTCTAGTTTGGTAGATAGTAAAAGATATAATTGAAAATTTATTATCTTATATATTATTTCGAATCTTATGATTCTACCTTTAATTAAAAAAAAATTGAAAACTAGATCGTTTTATGCTGCATTTTTTGTATTCAGTTTCTGAAATTCATGACCCGAATATCTCAACAATACTGTGATATGCCCTATTTATAATAAAATACTTTTTCAACTTTTATTTGTGTTTTTCTTGCACTTTCTTGAAGAAAGTAAATATAATTAAGAAAAATCTTTTTGGTCAGAAAATTTGGCCAGAATTTGACCAGAATGGTATCTTACCTATGTTATTTTACCCTTTTGAATACCCTTTTAACTTTAATATCTTTTAATTAAAAGATAGAAAAAAAATCAATATATTTTTAAATAAAAAAATATTATAGATTTTTAAAATTTCTTGCCAAATTACTATATATTAGAAGAGTTTAGGATTTACTATCATTGTTCCAATAAAATCATTACAAATGTCCAATACTTACTATATAAAATATATAAGTGGGTCCCACCATAATAATAATAATAATAATTGTTGTTATTATTATTATTATTATTATTATTATTATTATTATTATTATTATTATATGTGTTTTTTCAGAAAACGTGGGTAGTTTTTTCTATGAGGAGTATTTTTTATTTTTTGAAAGAAAAAACAGATTTTTTATTTAGTCACCCCCCCCCCCCACACCCAAAAAAAAAGGAATAACACACGCTATACGTTTTAGAATTGTTTTCAAAGGACGTGGGTTGTCATTATTTTTATAAAAACTTTTTTTTTAATCAATTTTTAATTATCTATATTTAATTATTTAAAAAAAAACTCAAAATTCAAGAATGTAACTATTCGTTTTAACGTTGTTATCTTCTAAAATAGTAACTTCTTTTCTTTATTTAAAAACAAATTATTATATTTGATTAGTTGATAATTTAAAATTTAAAAATTAGCAATTAATTGTGGCACTGACACGTAGGCGCTGTCACCTCTCCTATATTAGAAGAGTCTAGGATTTACTATCATTATTCCAATAAAATCATTACAAATGTCCAATACTTACTATGTAAAATATATAAGTGGCCCCCACCACCTTCCACTTAAATACTACATATTATATATTATTAATTACTATACTATAAATCACTACTAATATCCAATATATTTATCAAACTATATAAATGGGCCCCATCACCTTCCACTTAAATACTACATATTATATATTAATTACTATACTATAAATGACTTAAATACTCCATATTATCTATTACAATAATTAACAATTATTTGACACTTTAAATTCTATCAATGCCATATAAATTAGGATAAAAAACCTAACATATAATATTTAAATATATTTAAAACTAATAACTAATATTATACATTACAATAATTAACAACTTAATTATTTAAAACTTATATAAAAAATTTAATTGACTCTCTAAATTCTATTGGTACCGCATAAAATGCATTATATAATAAACATATATTGTTTGAAATTGACGAAAAAGAAACAATAAATTACAATAATTAATAAAAAAAATAGTCCACTCCAAAAAATCTATCAATTAACAACATACATTGTTTGAAATTGACGAAAAAGAAACTATAAATTACAATATTTAACAAAATAAATCTCTCGACTCCAACAAATCTATCAATTAATGCCACATAAATTGGGACATGGCAAATAACATATATTATTAAAAAATTAGGTTCAAAATGTACTACAAAATACAATAATTAACAACTTAATATATTAAAGAGCTATAAAAAAAGGGTTAATATTTGAAATTCTGCATCTGCCACATACGTTAGAACAAAGATAGTAATAAATATTATTTTCAAAATTATGTTAAAAAAGTACTACAAATCACAATAGCTAACAATTTAAAATATTTTTAAAATCATATAAAAATTTCAATAACTTCTCAAATTCCATAATATGACATAAATTTAAAAAAAAAGTGTTATAAATCATAATAAATAGTACAATATTTAAACTACTTTAAAAGCATTATAAATTGTAATAAATAATACAACAATTTAAATTACTTAAAATTTAACGACTTAAATTTTATTTTAAAATGTATTAAAAATTTGGTTAACTGTCAAAACTTTACATGTGCCACATAAATTGGGACATGGACAGTCACACATATTTTTTTTTAAAAATTACATTAAAAGTATTCTATCAATTAACAACATATATTGTTTGAAATTGACGAAAAAGAAACTATAAATTACAATAATTAACAAAATAAATCTCTCAACTCCAACAAATCTATCACTATATTATAGAAGAGTCTAGGAATGACTACCAATGGTCCAATAAGATCACTACTAATGTCCAATATATTTATAAAATATATAAATGGGCCTCATCACCTTCCACTTAAATACTACATATTATATATTATTAATTACTATACTATAAATCACAACTAATATCCAATATATTTTTCAAACTATATAAGTGGGTCCCACCACCTTCCACTTAAATACTACATATTATATATTAATTACTATACTATAAATGACTTAAATACTCCATATTATCTATTAGAATAATTAACAATTATTTAACACTTTAAATTCTATCAATGCCATATAAATTAGGATAAAAAACCTAACATATAATATTTAAATATATTTAAAAATAATATAAGTAATATTATACATTACAATAATTAACAGCTTAATTATTTAAAACTTATATAAAAAATTTAATTGACTCTCTAAATTCTATTGGTACAGCATAAAATGGATTATATAATAAACATATATTGTTTGAAATTGACGAAAAAGAAACAATAAATTACAATAATTAATAAAAAAAATAGTTCACTCCAAAAAATCTATCAATTAACAACATATATTGTTTGAAATTGATGAAAAAGAAACAATAAATTACAATAATTAACAAAATAACGTTTTCGATATACAAACTTCAACGGCTGCAGGAAAATC